TAATATAATATAGTTTCAATATCATCGAATAAATTCGAATTTAAAATTTGATCACATCTTATATGAATTAATAATTATATTTATAAAGATTTATTTAATCAATGTAAAATCTAAACACTAATTCATAGATAAATTTCTATGTGTTGAAAGATATATCATAGAGAACCTACAATACAGGTGACTTTTTATTATCACTTTTATACCTAATATTTAACATAAGTTGTCTTATCACATATATATATATCAAAATGAGTAAGAGTAAAGTTATCAATGACAATTAACTCTTCTTGAGCGAACACATGTCTCCATGGTATATATGGTCTTTCTTAATAATATTTTAGTTAAGAATATTGACAATAAGATAATAAGAAAAGAATATACGAGGATCGTTCAACAAGTTCTAAAACTAATTTTGTTTAAAACCAAAAAAGAAGTACTGTTGCGTTAGTATTTTTGCTTAACGGTAGCTCTTATCTTGATATATCAAGGATGTATAGTTTTCCATGTGATATTACTAAATCTTGTGAAAAGTCAAACATTGCGCCTGTACAAAGCAAAATAGCTGTTTCAACGCAGTTCTTAACCTGTCTCTTGGAACAACTTCAACTCAACATTATTGCTTTTTGTAAAAAAAATGAGATATTACAATAATCGAAATGTAATTGATGCGTTTCCACTAAACAAATTATTAGTTTCTATAGTAGGCAGAATTAAAGTAAATAGTAAGTTTTGTAGAGTAAACTTTTCTGTACAAGTCTGAGGGATTAAAAACTGTTTTACATTTTGAATTTTATAGTCTTCAATAGAATTACACAATTGTGTTCTGTGTGGCAATGATTTAGACCTTTTGAAACAATCTAATGTTAGTTGTCCAGTTTTGCCTCAGAAGTATCTCATATATTCGACATGACTATCCGGTTTTGAATAGAAAATGTGATCAAAACGATGGAAGTATGGCTCGATCGGGTATCAGAAACGTTCAATAAACCGGTTTCCAGTTCGAAAATGTTGGAATCGATGGCTTCTACTGAACATACAGGAAGGTCAGGCAGTTGATGAAACTGAACAAATCTGAACAGAGAGAGAGCGAAGGTTGAAAAATACGATTTTTAACTTCATGTTTTTCACGGATAACTCAAATCAATTCATTTGTTTATGACATGACAACTACTATTGTTATTCTAAACTTATAATAGATAGATGACAGCCTTAAGTCAGGTTCAATCGCGACAATGTTCTGCTCAACACTCATCTATTATAAAACTATTTATCTTAGCGTCAATCATTTATGGATTACTTTATTGTGTGAAGATTATATATCTTGTTTCTGATCGTCTAATCCTTTTTGAACATAGATAATGTCAAAGCCATCGGACGATTTTTTTAGCTGGGATGAAATCATAATAATAATTTGAACGACGACCATACCCTCGAATGTTTTTTATACCGTTGAAATTTTCATATTCTTAGTCTTTTAACTTTCATAAAATTATTTTTGTGATAACGCATACTTATATCCACTTATATAGCATCAATTCTAAATATGCCGGACAATGATCTTTGGCAAAGAGTCAAATTGATTATACGGATATTTGAATATTCTTTCATAGACACATTCACACCAAGAAACGCGGCTTCAATTCTCGACTAGGCAAGTCGCAGACAAATGGACCAGTATATCATGCTCTGAAGACTTATCCTTTAAAGATTGAAAAAAAAAGTCGCGTCATTCTTGTATTTTATTTATGCTCGTTATTCAAAAAATTATTTTCAAAATTTATTTCTTTTCGTGAGATCATTCGATATTTTTGCGACAAATAGGACACACCCGTCTTGTGAGTTGTAATAAACATTGCTGATGAAATACGTGATGACATTTTGTTATTTTTGCATTTTTTGACCACAATGAATCTAAACATATTGAGCATTCACCATAGTATTCTTCGTATTTTACTTGGCCATCTGCTTCAAAGAGTTTTACTAGACATTCTATCTCACCGTGCGTGATTGCACATACACTTGCTGCACCTATTATGAGAGGACATGTCGATATTTGTATCATGTTCAACAAAATGCGACCGAGACGAGTAATCCACTCTCTAAAATTAGCTGGACGTGGTACGTAATAGTCGTCACTTGATCTCTTAATATCAACTTTTATTTGATCTAAAAATGCTTGTCTTCTAGCCAGTAGCACTTTATCGATTTCTTCGTCATCATCTACATTATTATCGCCAAAGATAACATTTTGGACTCGTTTAATAATATTACATATATCTTTGTCACTTTTATTTTTTTCTAGATACAATTGTGTCGTCATTGATTTACCTTGACAATGCGTAAAGACAATTGTACAGTACTTTAGAATACCTTGATCAAATACTGTTGTCAAAAATTCAATATAATGACGTATGTCATTTGATATACGACCGTATCTCAAACATAAATAAACTCGATTGTAGCCAACCATGGATTGTTTAATGACGCATTTTAAAGAGCGAAAAATTTCATTATGATCAAATCGATTATCACCGAAACCAATAGAATCTGTACAGGGGCGGCGGAACGTTTCCAAATCAGGTGAGGCTCAGTAAAAAACTTTTTTTTAATTATCCTAAGTAACTTTTTTCTTCTATCAATGTCTTCGTTGACGAAAGGGTGTGGATGTGGGTGAGTGTTGGCTTTGGTTTATTTTGTTTTCTTCTTCGACGTCCACACCAACACCCCAAAGTGAAAACGGCAGATTTCAACCCTTTGGAGTCCCTTGTAACCTCATGGAACCTTTGAAGTCCCATGGAATGCCGAAATATTTTCGATTTCCCTGCAAAAGCCCTTTATAAAAATTATAAACAGTTATTTCTTAATTTTTTTTGTCGATCATTATATCAGATAGGATAGAAATAATTGAGGAGATGGATCGCAGCTATCTGGAGGATGTGGGTCACGTTGGACAGAAAAAAGGGATCAGAAGCAATTGCCAGTTGCCAAATCGCTATTGGATCGAGACTATGTGCATTATGTAGGCTCTAATGAGCTATGAACACTCTGAAAAAGACTCGTGCTTCTTGCTTATTTCTATCAAGATATTTGATTTTTACAGCAATTTTCAGCAGAACATCGTGGTCTTTGTCAGATTTACTTGGAAAATCAACTTTCAAATTTCGATTTGAAAGTTTGTGCAGAGAAGGGTTTCAATCAGACTAGTTTGTTCTGATGGTTTCAGATTTTTGGGTTCCTTCTCTCTTGAGATACGAGTGTAAGAAAAAGTACTTTTTTCACATTACTTAAAGCACAAAATGTTATGTGTTCATATTTAAAGATAGGAGCAACCAAGAAATTTCAGAATAAACCAGTTTTATTGAGACCTTTCTCTGCTCAAAGTTTCAAGTCGAAATTCGAAAGTCGATTTTTCAGTGAGCTTGAGGGAGACCATGACGGTGTACTAAAAAATGTCATAAAAATAAAAAATCTCGACAAGGGTTCAATGGCGCATCTTTGAGGATCTATTGAAGATAGATGATGATACGTTCTATCAAAAGATAGATTAAAGCTTCCATTTGAACTCTGACAAAATCCAGCAAATGAACTGCATTATAGATCAGTGACTATTTTTCACCATACTGATTGGAAGTTTTTGATCTTATTATAGCCTAAAGAGCTTCAAGAAGTCAGGACGGCCTGTAATATATAGCAAATACATAACACTGTACAAGTATTTGATGACTACAAAATATAAGTAGATCATCAATTAAAAATATAAATTTTACTTATATGGTCTAATTAATGATATTCACCTATTTTACGTACTTTGTGGTACCTGATATTTAATGTATACTCGCTATAGAGCGACATCCAAGATACTCTTAAATCAGGACCATAGTAGCTTCAATGCTAGCTACGATATGGGTTCGAATCTCGAAAATTGATTTTGTCACCTGGCTGTCCACTGTGTGGGTGTGGGTGTGAATCGTTGATTTTGCTTTCACACCCACACACCCACACCATTACTAACTAATTTACTTATTGTTGTTTCACAGGTTTCAGCTATTGAATAATTATAGGTTTTGTTTTTATTTTTGTTTTCATTAACACTTATCTTTTTCAATTTGATTATCAATCTAAAATACAAGCTATTGCAAGTAGTCAGGTAATCCTTTTTTTAAGATCGAAATTACTAAGTACTATGCACACCGCTTGCGTGAATGTTTACATCACTTTTTATAGTAGTACCGTGGTCGTTCACTGTCCATCATAGAACATGGAACAGGAAACATTCGTATGATAAAAGAGACTGAAGGATTCTCAAATAATTCTACCGTTTTTTAGATCTTGAAAATATCTTGGAGTTCCTCGGAATCATATGGAACCCAGGAATCCCGGAATCTGTTATTTCCCCTGTGTCCACACCCACACTCTATTAGGACTGTGCTTTCACTCAATATAGAGAAATGAGTGATACATCACGAAGATGAAGACAAACGCTTAAATACAAATAGTTCTGACATTGACTGCATTATTCTATAATCGTTTTGGTTTGTACAACACTCTATGTGAATAAAACAAAGATGTTGTGACGAATTATGACGGCATAGATAGTAGGCTTTAGTACCGTCTCGTTTTTCAAGTTTGCTTCATCGTTATATATAGATAAACGCGTAAAAGATTTCAATATCTTAACTAATATAAGGTTGATCTAGCCAAATAATATCAGATTCGAATTTGACCCATCCTTGAAATTCTAATTCTGGGGAGGCTCAGCTTAATAGTGCCCATTTCTGGTGAGGCTCAAGTCTATCAAGCCTATACCTTCCGCCGCCTATGATCACAACATATAAATAAATATATTAGAAGTTCGAATCTTCGCACTGAAATAATATTCATTTGATAAGTCTAAACCATCGTGCAAAAAAATATCGTATTCATAATTTGGGTAAGGCTGAGCCTCCAGACACCAAATTCTGGTGAGGCTCATGCCTCACCCAGCCTCCAGCTTCTGCCGCCTATGAATCTGTATAAGCATAGGTTGGAAAATCATAATAAGTAGTAAAAACAGATGTAACACGAGAAGATGTATCATTAGTAATAGCAGGTATTAACAAAGATTCTTTCTTGACATCATCATTGAATAAACCATTAATTAGCGTTGATTTACCTGAACCAGTTGGACCGATGAATAGAATACGTTTTGTCATTTCTACTTCAAAATATAAAAATAATAGTAATAGAAAGTTATGACATATTTATATTTGTAAAAAAGGTTTTTTTCAATTTACAGTGCGACGAAGTAATTATTTAAGAAAAGAATACGATAAAGAAAGCCAGTAAGATACGATTTTAAAAAGAAACTTGTTAAAATTCTTTATGATGGTTTTTAACGATTTATTTAACACATTAAAGTGCACAGTTATTGCTAAGCATGTTAGTGTCTTGGATATGGACGTTCATTTAACCGATAACTGCACACACACTTCACATTCCATCCACATAGTACTCTCTAATCGCCTTTTTTTTTAATTTTCCGAGAGCATCAAATCGACCAGTGTTTTATCTATCTGAAGCACTTCTGCCAAAACTCTATCAACAAAATAGTTGTTCACTAGGTTCTGAAATTGTACAAAAAAAATTATGAAGAAGTGTTCAAAATATTTAACGCCTGTTCTAATTATTTTAGTATTGTAATACCTTGAGTAAAACTATGTACAAAAATGTTAATACGAAAATTGTTAAAATACTTTTTTCTTTACTATAAAGCATCACATAGCAGACCAGATGATAGGTTGGTAAAATATCTTGTCTCACAGACCAATGATGAGGACATGATCCTTTGTTTTTTTTATTATTCAAGAAACACGTGTAAATATCAAAAACGTTTTACATAGGTCAGATTTCCTCTGCTTGTAGTCTGCTTATTGCCACGTTCAACAACAATCATTGCAATTATGCCTGATGTATATATTATAAAAACTATTCAAATAGATGTATAACATAGTATTGAATGTTTATTCATTTTTTTAGAACTGCCAGCAAAGTGCACAGTAATATAATAGTTTGGACCAATTTCATGAATAGATTGAAATCGAATTGATTTTCTTGCCGGTGTTGTGCATGAAGTAGTGACAAATATTGATTATGGTTGTCTAATGATCGATTAACTAATTGATGCAAAGATTCAGTATCCCTCGCATGTTGTTGCTGTTGTCTGACAATAAGTTCTGTCAATTGTTGAATGTGTTGTATAAGTTGTTCTGAGATACGATCATTTTTTTCTTGTTCTTGTTGTCTTTGTTCAAGTTGTATTGATGGTTGATTTTGATTGAAAAGTTGTTGTTGTAGATAAGCATAATTTGGCTGTTGTTCTTCTTGAACATGGATAAGTGATGACAAACGTTCATTTTGATTTATCTGTTGTTGCATAAAATTTGTATTAGTTTGTTCTTGAAAACGAATAAATGCTGCTATTCGTTCATCATATTGGAGAAGATATTGTTGATTACGAGCATAAATTTCTTCTTGAATTCGAACTAATTCTGCTAATTTTTTATCATTTTCTAGAAGATGTTGAATAAGACAATCATTATCGTTTGTTTCTAATTGTCTAGTATCAACACTGCTAGATTGATCGTTTTGAAACGATTCTAAAGTTTCAGGAGAAAATGCTTGAATAAGTTTATAGAGAATTGTACCAAATTCACTTTCAGTGAGGTTTTCTCGACGAAGATAACAATTTCTAATGGATTCTATGTGATCAGAAATAAAAGCATTGAAATGATCACGGAAATCCATATCCATAATAGGTGCTGCTATATTCAATAGAATCAAATAAATGTATGTAAATATTTCTGTAAGAAAAAAAAGTATCATTTACCAGATTTTATGCCTAATCCTATTTCAATTGCATTGATTTCATCAATTAATTCTTCGAATTTTTCATCAAATTTATCTTCATCGAACAATTCAATATGCTTGAGATCAGATTTAATGATACCAAGACCACCGGATGGACGAAATGTTTTTTCAACCATACAAGGAATAACGGGAATTTTTCTTTCAACAGCATATTTAGCTTCTAATAAATAGATTCTATTATTATTACATTGACATTAACAGATATTGATAGCTTACCTTTTGTACAAAAGGCACTTTTAGAATAACCATCAGTTATACATAGAAGAACAACATAAGAATTTTCGACTGCCTCACCCATGCTATCAAGTACACTACCGTGTAGATCTTTCTTATCGAACCATACATTATAATGTCGTTCCTATTCATACAAACCAAGATTAATGTTTTTAAAGACAAAAAGAAGTATCAATATTTTTTTGTAAATCAAAATTAGAACTACTAAAACTTATTTATTCATTAGTGAAAAATATTGTCTTAAAAACAACAGCGAATTGTTTAATTTATAATTCAATCAATAAACTATAGTGTTTCATAAAAAATATTTTTTGTGAAGATAAAGAATAATGTTATTAACCCTTGGAGTACCGGCCTCTTTTAACCGTGATTTTGATGACATGTGTTCTTTTTTAATAATCCTTTTACTTTTCAGCCAATATTTTCGTAAGATCTGACCTTTTCTTGTTTTATTCTATAGAAAAAAATGAGAACGATGTTCCTTATTTAGAACAATTAATACAAAAGACACGTTTGACAGAATGATCACTACAAACGAACGAAGAACAACTGAAACATTGAATTGATGTTTTCTTGTCCGTAGAACGTTCACAAATGGAGCACCTTTTTCGTTTTGGTTGAGTGGGATTTTCATTCGCTTCTGCCGGATCGTTCTTCGACACAGGATAACCGACGATTGCTAAAGCATTTAGAATATCTGTGTTCAAAAATTTCGAGTTCTTCGAACGAAAATCCAACAGATGCGATACCAGTGCTAATCCTAATTCTTCCAAAAATAATCGACGTTTATGATTTGTATTCTGATTCCATTGAGGATTTTTCACTTTCCAGACAATCAGAGCATTTATGGCAGCAATGTCTATCATCCCATAGAAAATACAAACTGGCCATCGCTTTGTACCTCGTTTTACCTGAAAAGTAAAATAAGCTATAGAAATACTGAAATATTTTTTACCGTGTATTTATGACACATTTGATCAACAGTATCGACAGCCCCCTTTGTTTTGTTATAATCCAATATAATGATCGGTTTTCCAGTTTTATTGTCCACTTGATTGTCGTGATGTTTTGAGGAGAGCAATAAAACAGCTTTATTCTGTTTTGGGACAAATGAAACTAAGGTTAAACCATCTTGGAAACCAAAGAGCGAAGAACCCACTTCACGATTTTCGTTGGATTGAAACTCGATAGGTATTTCTGACTTGTTTTTTCGCAGTGTTCCTATAAGAGTCAGATTCTTTGTTTGAAGCGTTTGGGCTAATGGAACACTTGTGAAGAAATTATCTATTGTAACGTTTCTTTGGAAGCCGTAAAGTGGTTTGAGTAATTCTAGAACGACTTTGGCACCTATCTGTGTTTGTCTTTGCTCATTCGGTTGTCGTCCAACGTAAGGAAATGCATTGAATACATAATGTGAGTCCACATCAACGCATAGCCAAAATTTTAATCCGTATTTGTCAGGCTTTTTTGGCATATATTGACGGAAGGAACATTTTCCTCTAAATCCTAGTAGTTGTTCATCAATAGTAACATTTGATCCCGGTGTGTAACATGTTTGTAAGCAATTTTGGAAATATGACCAGATTTCACGAATTGCTGCAAATTTATCTGTTCGTTTTCTTTCTTCCCTTGTTCTTTTGTCGTCAAATCTCAAACAAGAAATAATATCCTGAAAACGAGTTCTTGACATAGTGGCTTTGAATATTGGCGGTTCTAATGGACTTCTTCTCCATAAGCATTTCAGATCGATCTTCGATTTCCCCAATAAACCAGCAAGCAATAAAAGTCCAATAAATGCTTTCAATTCTATGAGTGTTATTTCTTCAATTTTTTTCGTGGAGGTATTCTTGTGAGTATACTCCAAGTTTGAATAATCCAAGATTTTTTCCAGAAGTTTGTTTGGCATAAAACACATGAATGCATCTTCGACAGATGAAATATTTTCACTGGTATTTGTAAGACCAGCTTTTTGAATAACATCATTCGAAAAATCATTTTTCGTTGAATGATGAGGAGTTGAGGACCAAATCATTCCAGAACGGGAAGTATACGAACTTTTCCATGTGGAGTCATCGTCTAATTTTAGGTTTTCTAAATCAATTTCATCATCATCGTCGGATGTTTGGCTTTCGCCATCTCCCGTTTCCGAACCGCTGTTTGCATCATCGAAATAATCACTGTCGCTTCCGGTTTCACTTGAACTGTCCATAATCTTTATGAAAAATATTTCAATGGATTGAAAATGCACACCCCTTTAGATCAGAGAATGACTCATTTTATTAGACATTAGAATTTTCATTGTTTCTCCGTTTTGTAAAAAACATATTACTGATACAATGTTTTACTAAGGGGGCGCACTAATATGGAGAAAGAATGTATTTCGTTCTAGATTCATTATCATATATCTCTTCGTAAAGGTTACTAGCTGCTGCTGAAAACTGCGAAACAACAAAACATGTTTAGCATTTTTCGGAGATTTCGAGCGTGGGGTCAAAAATGACCCCGGCTGGTACTCCAAGGGTTAATAATCTGATTGAGATAGACGTAGTTTAACGCAATTAAAACTAACTCTGAAGAATTATTTACCGTGAGACGATCATAGATTTTTTGTGCAATATCTGATGCTGATGCATGATTATAGCTAATCATAATATGTTTTTTCTTTTTTATTTGCTGTTGATTATTGTCTGTAGTTGTGTGATTCACATTAAGTTCTGAATCATCTACAATAGAACAAGAAAAATAAATTTTGGTATAAATCATATCATTATCATACGTATTATTGATTGTACACATGGCTGAACACTAGTACTAGCGAGTTGTGAATTTACATCTGAGATAATGTTGTTATTGATATTGTCAATATTTTGATTATCAACATTTGGGATGGATAAAACTCTTGTTTGTATCAGTCCAAGAATGTGTGTGTTAGTCAAATGTCCTTCGTTGATAAGGGCATCTAAATGAATCGGAAAACTGAATATATTATTTTTCTAACTGACAAACTGACCTGCTTGTTCAGCGATCGGTTCAGATGTTTTCTCATCATCATCATCATCATTATTTGATTGTATAAAATCAATATAATGGTACGGCGATGATAAATTTTCATGAATATCATCATTGTTGATGTCTACAAACAATAGTTAATAAAGTAATATGCATAAAAAATAACTTACTGTTATTTAATGAAACATTGTCAGTTGTACTATTCGATTTATCTTCCATTGCTTCTTGTGATTCAGAAAGTTTTTCTTGTTTTCTTAATAACGGATTACAGGTAATTAAAATCGTACTTAATCTATTCCGACCAAAAAAAAAAGTTTGAAAATTTTATTCTACTCGAAAGAAAATCGTGTTTATCCTCATGAAGACACCATATTTATTTTACTCGAGCGAGGAAGTGATGTATAGGTTGTCACATAAAAAATAGTTAAAAATAATTGTGGGTTATGTACATATTTTTTTTTCTTTTACTCTTGTCGAAAGGAAATTATACTGATGTCTATCAGAAAAGGCCATATTTATTAAAGCCTTCACACATATTAGGAGACCCTCCGCCTCCCAAATCGGCGATTCGTTAGCTCTTCTATCATGTTTAATTTTTTTTTCCTATGAATGTAAGTTTCTCAGCTTCGATTCAATTTTTTTTCTGTTCTTTATGACATTCAAGGCAGTTTGTACTTGAGTCATATAAAATGTCATTAAGAGAAATAGGTTTACACCTTGTAAAAAATCATATCCTTTATGGAAGAGATGTGTTTTGAGTACCATATTAGTTCTATGTGAGATGGGATACAAAATAGTATCTTTAATAACAAAAATAATATCTACATAATATCAGATGGATATAAGCGTAGATAAATGTGTGAATAAAGGAATAGATGATGGTGAGAATAAGAATATAAGTCTATATGAGTTGATGTTATCACAATTCACGTGGTCTGCACATATATATGCGGTAATTTTTCATTTTTCTCTTTTCACGAACAGGTAACTGTATGATTGTTTTGATAATTGAATAAGAAAAAACATATCTTATGAATAATGATGTAATCATATGTTCTCATCTACTAGTTTCAATAGTGAAAACTCAACAAAGACAGCTGATCCTGAAGAATATGCTAGAAGACCAAAAAAATCTAACATTTTTTCTAATTGATTGTATGAAATAATAACATTTTATGAGAGAAAAATAAGATAAACGTTGAGTAAAAACATAACCAGCACAAAAAGACTTATAAAAATAATTATCATTCATTCCTCTTGTTCACACGATAGTGATAAGACGTACTTTTCTCTTTACACTTAAAGTACATATACGATCTGTATATGTGCACGTGTTGAGTCACGTGAAGACTTATTCATTGTATTAAAATATAAAAAATTATATAATTTGTAATAAAAAGATTGATAATGAGTTATGAAACATATAGAAACATGTCTACAATTCAACAAGACCTTATCTATGAAGAATTTGAAATAAAACAGAGAATACAACAACATAATGATAACGAAAAAAACAGAACGCCATCATCAACTGTAAAACGTCATCCTACAAATCACAGTCAACTTAATGATGATCAATATACAGTTGAGTATCAGGATGATGACATGGAATTCCAAGAAATAAATTATAACAGGCAAAGAAAAAAACGAATTAATAAGGACAAGGACCAGCGAATTCATGCACGAATGATAATTAATTCAAATATTAACAATAACAGGAACTCACAAGCGACAACAACAACAAATGATAATATTATTAAAGGTGATTCAGTTCGAATATCCAAGCACGCATTAGATTATGCATCTGAATATCATCATCAACCGTTTAAAATTGAATGTGATCCAAAATTAAAAGATCAACGTGAAGGATCAAAATTTATTCAAGCAATCATTAATTATATTAAAATTGATTTTTACAAGCAAAATGTATCGTATAATAAACAGTTATTGTTTGATCTGTGGTGGATTGATAAAGAGGGAAATATTCGAGCAATTGTTAAATATACGGAAATTGCTGTTTATTTATCACAAGTAAATCGACATCCAACAGAAATAAAAAAATATAAAAATAACACCACATCCACCAAACCATCTTCCACCTCAACATACAGCAATATCGAAATGGGTGAAAAACTCCATTTCCTTTGACGATCTAAAAGATGAATTAAAAACTAAATATAATTCATAATTTTTAATAGAAGAAATTATGGGAACAATAAATGATCGAAATCGGCATCTTAGAATCTAGTTATTAGATAAAAAAAGAATATAATGCTATGTTAAATAGTGTTAAAATATCTATCTTTGGACAATTATATGATATAGATGAATTCTTACCATCACCAAAACTTTTAATATGTTCTAAATACAATCAACCCGGTCATGTAAAAAATAGTTGTAAAAGCTCAAGTTTTGATATATGTAGAAGGTGTGGTGATGACCGAAACAATAATGATAATCACAAAGAATGTAAAATCAACTGTCATCATTGTAAAGGAGATCATGCCTCCACGGACTACAAGTGACCATTTATACAAGAATATCGTCGTCGTTTAATTATTGAATTACGAAAACATCCTGATCTTTTACCACCTGATATTCAATTATTCATTCCATCTGAATATCGGGAACAAGGCGAAACAACCAAAATAATTTTCAATAAATCGGCTCAAAATTATCAATAACGATGTGATCAACATGTAATCTGTGACAGAAATGATTTTAATACATGGCCACAAATATTATCTAATTCTTCAAATACCAACATGGATTTTTCAATAACAAAAATTCAGCAAATCCTAAATGATGAAATAAAAACAATAACTAATGAATTACAATCAATAAAAAAGAATTTTGTAGATGAACAACGCAAAATAGAAAACAATTATAAACACCACCTAAATACAATCAAACAAGGATGGCTGTTAATGCAACAACAAATTGAAACACAATCTCAAATTTTATCAACAATTAACACTGCAGTTAGTCAGACATTATTCTCCACATGCCAAAAGACAACACATGTGATGTACACTGTGATAAATAAAATAAAATTGCAAACAAAATACAAATGAGTATGATCATATTCTTAATGAAATGACAATGCAAGCTTCCTTCATAAATGATATTCAAGCAACATATTCAAATCAACAGGTTTCACTTGAAAAGTTGTTAAATAAACAAAATGAAGTACTTGGTAATGCATTGAATTTATTATCTGAAAATACAAATGGATAGTCAAGATTTCAAATATTCTTCACCTACAGTAAATATAGACTTAATAAATTTTTTTCATGGATCTCAAAAAGAGAAGGAAATTCTTCTATCCATATTTTGTGAATGGAACATCAGAAACACTATCTCCGAACTGAACAAAAAATGGACAAAAGAAAGACCAAAAAGTTATTCTGAAAATTTTACTGTTCTTTTATGGAATTTCGAGGATCTTAGTACGCATCTTACTTATTTAGATATTCTTCTTTCTTATCACTCTCTGCATATAATTATTCTAACAGGAGTGGGAAAACAGATTCGACATTTACCTAAAATACCATATTATTATTTGGCATAGCCAAGAAGGTAACAACAGTTTTGGTGGTGTTGCAATATTAGTACAATGGAAACTAAAGAGTACAGTCGTGAAAAAATCAATCAACTTTTTATTAATCGAATTAGAAATTTTAAATTAAAAAATTAATATAGCAGCTGTTTATGTTCCACCAAAAAATTTACCTCCTTTTGAACTTTTTCAAGCACATGATAATGAAAATATCATCATTTTTGGCGACTTTAATGCAAAACATCAAGAATGGGATTGTGAGAAAAATAATTTAAGTGTAAATCGAATAAAGGAATGGATTGAAAATGAAGGTTGGCATATACTATACCCTTCAAAACCAACATCTAAAAAATCCAAATCTATTATTGACTTTGCCATAGGACAAGACATCAATGGATGGAATGCAGAAACTTTGGATGAAGGTACATCAGATCATTATCCAGTGATCTTTTTTTCTCCTTTCTCGGCAACAGAAAATGGGTCTTTTAGAGCAACCAACTGGAAAATTTTTTACTATTTTTTACAATCTACGTTCTCATATTGGAATTCATTAGTATATAATATGGATCATAATACATTTTTTGAAATTTTTTCAGCATTTCTAGCAGCTCTATGGGATCGTTGTAGTGAATATAAATACGTTAAAAATTTTAGAACTCCATGGCCACCTTATCTAGTAATGTTAGCTAAAAATGTAAATAAATATAAAAGGAAATACCGAAGAACACGATTTTTAAATCACTTCAACGATTTTTTGTTTTGGAAGAACATATTTCTACAAGAGAAAAATAATTACCTGCAAAAACAAAAAGATAATGAGTTAAAAGACATGAAAATAAATAATAATGTATGGTCATATGTGAAAAATACTTTTCGTCCATATTCTCCATCATTTAAAGGTTTAACAACATCAAATGGAATAATCAAAAATAATCAAGAAATTGTTAATCTATGAGCCAATCATTACGAAAAACACTTTGAACAACCAATTCATGATATAAATAATCGTTATCATATTGAACGTATAAATGCCTATAAAGAAATAGAAAATGGTCCAAATTTACTTTTACAAAATATTAAATATGACGAAGTCCTAAAACAGTGGAGAAACTTGGCATCAAAAAAAAACATTGGATAGTATGAATACTTCCGCTTACCTCTTAAAAAATCTTCCAAGTGAATATCTAAATATAATAACAGTTTTATTTAATAAATGTGTTGAAAATGGAACTTTTTTTAATAAAAGCAAACAAGCTAAAGGAATCTGCTTATTTAAAGACGGAATGTATCACACCAAAGACCGTCTTCGATCAATTTCTCTTCTTCCTAACCTCGGAAAATGGCTGGAAAGAATTATTGCTGAAAGAATTGAAAAATGGTGCGATGAAAAAGGTATTCATACTGATGAATAATCAGGATTTACTGCGCATAGGAAATTACAAACAAGAATTGTATCTCTCATAGAAGATTTGCGGCTAACAGTTGCTACTTCCAATCGTCCTGCAATAGTAATTTCCATTGATTTTAAAACTGCATTTGATAGGGTTTGGTACCCTTCTTTAATGAAAACACTGCAAAGACTAGAAATGCCTCAAAACTTAATACGATGGATGTTTAACCGGTTGCAAAATAGATCAATTTTCATAAGTCATGGAGATGCCGAATCAAGATTTATCAAAACGTTTGTTGGAGCTCCTCAAGGATCCACACTTGCTGCACTACTTTTTCGTTTACATATATTTTTTTTACCTCCTTATTTCCCTCATATAGTCTCTCATTTATATGCGGATGATCTTACTCTCGTTATGAAAGGTGCATTGGAAAAGAAATTATCTGAAAACATAACATACCTGGAAGAACAAGCAAGTGATACTATGTTAACACTTGCAAAATTTGCTGATGATCATATATTACCTGTAAATATAGTATACTTCGAACATTATTTTATGTTATTTTAATTTATTTGATTTAATATATATAAGTCCTATTATATATCATTATATATCATACCACTATTTCGTTTACTTTTCAATCTATACAATGACACTTAACTGTCATTGCATTGGATACCTTGTGTCATAGATTGTTTATTTTTCTTTGATTCTCTCAGAACGATTTTTTTTCTCTTTCGGGCAAAAACGAAAAAAGCAACGAAGACACCGTCAGTTCGATTTCTTTTCCTTGTGATTATTATGAACATTTTGATGATATGAATGAAAACAGCCAGAAAAATGAATTCAATGTTGATTGTAGCAATAATCGAGCAACCATTTTTATCTTTGTCAAGTGTTCTGTACATCATTAACCAGTGATACGCCTAGAGAAAAACTGTTCACATTATACTGAACCTTCAGCTATATGCATTGTGTTCTATGGTTGTTCGAGTAATTATAACATTGAGAAAATTTCTGTCCTATGCATACGTTCATCACTAGAAATATGTCTATAATAATAATAAATAATGAAAATTATACCAACTATTTTTTTTTTAATACTAAAATGAACAGCAATATTGAAGGCATGATTAAAAAAATTTCGTCGTTGTAGCGCATGTCATGTCTTTGCACAAACACAAGTTTTTCCGCGAATCAAAAAAAATTGACCATAACGTTGATTACATGATTCTGTAGGGCTTTTTCTGAAAATGTAACTAAGACAAACATGAAAGATCAACAATAAAAAATACATTAACAACGAACAAGGCAACGAAACAAAAACATAAATTGGCAGAGTTCTATTATTGTTGCCATTGATGATTTGTTTTCTCCTTCCGTTCATATGTGTACAGTGAGTGTCACTATGAAGATAGAATATGTAAACAAAGAGCTGCAAAAAAAATTAATATGGCTTTTTCTTCACTTTTTTTCTTTCTTTCGATGTGTTAGCATCCCATCAAGAGGTTTTTACCTCTGTATTGACGAGTTTGAATCAATAAAAATGCATTAAAATCAATTCAGCACTATTGATCATATTACATTAATTTTGTTCTCTCCATAGCCATCAATTCACAAGCATCTTTTTTCGTGGAAATCTATAGACTATGTATGAAATACCAGTATATTGAAGAGATCGTTAAAATTGAACGAATGTTTAAGAATCGATTTTCTAGGACTTTCAATTGTTTTTCCAGTGTGACACGAATGTCTATTAAATTTTTCATAATGTACATAGAGGTTTTCTGGAAATTTTTCTTAGCTTGCGAAAATGATTACACTGGACAATGACGACAATCATGATGGAGAATTTTCTTGTAATCGATGACTAAATTAACGATAATATAGCTGACTGGTTTGCATCTCCAGACCTGCATAACAGACAAAGTTCATATTTTAATCGGCGTATGCTGATACTCTGAAACGTTAGCAGCGTAGAATCTGGAAAAAGACTTCGTCGATGATCAATATTGACTTGTTGGTTACGATGGAATGCGGAAAAAGTCGTCAACTGCACAAAAGTTAGTAAAAATAAAGTCATAGAAGACATCTTATTCAGCTATTTTGTTGAAAATTCAAAGGCAATGAGATTGCCAACATAGGATATTATGACACAAATCTTCGGGTGTGGGTGTGAGGTGTATGGGTGTGGGTGTGTGGGTGGGCTGTGGGTGTGTGGATGTGGGTGTGTGAGAGTGGGAGTGGGTGGGTGAAGGGAACATCCACACCCACACCCACACTCACGCCCATCCACACCCCACACCCACCCACACCCACATACCCACACCCACACCCACACCCATACTCAAACCCACACACCCCACACATCAACATATACACACCCACCCAGCTTAAGCAACAAATTTCAATATGCAGACCTAAGAGAAAATCTACAAGATTAATTACCTCCAGACAGTCTTAATTGCGAGAAGGATTTTTTAGTCTTAAATCACTTTGCTTCTTGTTTTATTCTAGTGAACTTTTCCAAAGA